TTATTTTTAACTTTTTTTTTTTCATGTATAAATTTAATACTACATGAATTTGGCAGACAACTAGTTATTAAAATACTCAAAATAACAGAGCATGTAATGTTAAAATATGTTCAACGATCGAGAGAAAAGCCCCTGATCGCTCTTTGGATCTCCTTTGCAGTATAAGTAGACCTTAGTCCTCATCCCACTTACACACACAATCACTTGAGAGAACACAAAAACTAAGAAATAAATGGCTTGTAATTATTCAAGAATCTTTTGGATGGCCTTGTTGGTATTGGCCGTGATATCATTCAGCAGCCAGATGTCGGCTGGTGCTGCCCGGGAGAAAGCCAACCAGCTTCCCGAAAATTACAAGTAAACTTCTCTCTCTTTCTCCTCCGAGTGTGCGCGAATATTTATGATGAAACAACAAATACTCGATCAATTTATATATATATATGTATATGAATGAGCTTGTTTTAATGTTTTGCGCATGTTGATAGGGAGTCTTGGATCAATGATGGGCTCGCGAAGACCGTTTATCCAAATACGGCTACGAAGAAGGATTCTCAGCCCTCAACACCTGGCCCTAGCCCAAGTATTGGCCATAAAACTAAGGAGGATTTTCAGCCGTCAAATACTGGCCCTAGCCCAAGCATTGGCCACAAAACTAAGGAGGATTCTCAGCCCTCAAATACTGGCCCTAGCCCAAGCATTGGCCATAAAACTAAGGAGGATTCTCAGCCGTCAAATACTGGCCCTAGCCCAAGCATTGGCCACAAAACTAAGGAGGATTCTCAGCCCTCAAATACTGGCCCTAGCCCAAGCATTGGCCATAAAACTAAGGAGGATTCTCAACCCTCAAATACTGGCCCTACAAGCATTGGCCATAACTCAAATACTGGTCCTAGCCCAAGCATTGGCCATAAAACTAAGAAGGATTTTCAGCCCTTAAAACTTGGCCGTAGCCCAAGTATTGGCCGTAAAACTAAAAAGAAGCATCCTCAGGCTCCAAAACCTTCTGCTCAATAAGAAACGGTTGCGAATATATGTATGGATGAAATAGCTCTTTTTACTCTAAAATATGAATTTTATTTTAATATAGATTTTTATTTTATTTTCTCTATTATAAGCTTAACGAACATTAATTGTCCTCTTCTTAATTTCTGTTTTTAGGATTATCAGGAAGGACAATTGCAGCAAACAAAGGGTGGAGCTTCAACTGAAGAATGATGTAATAACAAATGATGAAATAGTATTGTATCAGAACGTTTTTATACTCAAATGAAATAAAATGCAGCTTTAATTTATATATTTATTGTCCAACTATTAATCAGTTTTCTTAACTTGATTGGCCCGACGGGCCGACCCGAGACCCCGGTCGATTTGAAGCCATGATCGGTCCTAGTGGGTCATTCTGACCGGGCAACGATGAACCCGACCAACTCGGTTGGAGATTCATTTGTTGGAATATATACTTGTGAGTTGTCCAACATCGTCTATACATGGAAAATAGAGCTAACTTATTATAAGTCTAGTGAGCTATTCCAACTACCACGTATCCGTCACCCAGGCTCACCGTGTACTAGGCCTAACTTATAAGCCTGATGGGCTACTCCTACTATACCAACAATTGGTTTTAAAATGAAACTTCACTAAGATCCATCTAGACTCACCCTGCTTTGGTGCACTTCACGTCCGTGGGACAGCACACGTCAACCCCCATGTTTTCAACATCTATACTTATATAATAAGCCAACCTATTTACTATATTTAGTAGTAAGAAAAGTCAACATTAATTAATGCATCCTATTTTTAGGTTACTACTTTATTTACTTATTTTATTTATTTATTTTCTCCCATTACATCGGTTTAATAAAAAAAATTCCTATAAAAGTTGTTTTATCAAAAAATTGTACGTAAAACCTAAAAAGGCATATTCGATCGGTGATAAAAGATTTGATCGGTCAAAATTATATCTTTATTTTACATTACCCATAAATAAAGCAAATATCATGCCTAAATTAAAGGGTTTAGTTGGAAAAAAATGAAATAATTTCTTTGATTTTTTATTTGTCATGTTAGTAGGGTCTTCGAGTGTGATAATTTTTTTTAATGTAATGAGAATTAAAAAATTATTTATAGTTTATTGAAATTATTCTGAAAATCTTTCTAAAGAAAATGAAATGGATATGGAAAAAGATACAAATGAAGATTGGAAAAATAGATACATTAAAATTATATATTTTTATAAGTTTACTACAATTTTTTGAATTTTTTTACAAAAATACAACATTAAAAATAAAACATACATAAATCATTTATAAACAACAAGTTATAAACTAAATGACTTTTTTCCCACTAAAAAAACACAAATCAACCATTTACTAATAGAAGCTAAAACTTCTGTAAATGTGAAAATAAAAGTTATTTCAGATAAGTGGTTTAATTTTTTTCATTAAAATATGTGGCCAAGTAAATTGCCATATTGGTAAGGATGTAAGAACTGAGCTACATACATAGCCTATAAAAGAATGGGTCACCTATAATAATGACTGAAAAAATAAAAATAAAAAGAAATGGCCAATAACTAATCTATCTACTTATATAAAAAGTCATCTCAATTACTATAATTAGTAGAAAGAAAAGGTAACTCATAATTAATTGAACATCATATTTAGAGAGTATTTAGATTTTTTAAATCATAAAATAGGGTAGCATTAAATGTCCCTATAATTGGGGTTTCTATGACTTCATTTTTAATAAATCTGCATCCAAATTTACGTGTGGTTTTGAAGTGAAAATTTGAAATTCAAAATATCTTTTCATTTTAGTTACAAGAAAATCGAATTGCATTCAACACTTGGACCAATTTAAAAATTATTCCTTAAATGAAGGGATTTATAGATAATTGTTATATCTACTCAATCACGTGATTATTTTCAATATAAAAAAAGACAGATTACAAATTGATGAATCTAATTCAGTATCTTAACATTAAGGAATAAATCCATAGTATTATGTAAATCCGTATTTCATATTATTATATCATTAAGAATATTTATAGTTATATTATCAAATAAAAAAAGAATAATAAATCCATATTGTAAAAAAAATAAAAAATTGATATAATTTTATAACAATTCTACTAGACTATTTAACAGTATTCCTTTTTATTATATAATAAAATAATAATAAAATATTTTATGGTGAACAAGAATTAGTAAAACTGTTACTTTCTCTTATATCAAGTGATAAATTTATATGCTAAAATTAAACTTTTATTAGTATAAATATTTTGATGAGATAATATATTAATTATTTTACAAGCTAGCCATAACATGCTCATATTTAATGTTCTAGCTCAAAAAACAACGCTGGTTAAAAGATGTGGAAAAAAACTTATAACCCTATTGATTTTTAAACTTAACGTTGATTAAAAGAGGTAGAAAATATATAATAACCATATTACTCTTGAGACTTAAACGGACAAGGTTGTGAAAATAATTCATTTCAGATGTGGAAAAAAACTTATAACCCTGTTGTTTTTTATACGTAACGTTGATTAAAAGAGGTATAACGTAAATAATAACTCTATCACTTTTAGACTTAAATGCACAAGGCTGTGAAAATAGCTCATTTAATATCTCTGTCTCGTGCATCGTATGGGGTACGTACTAGTAAGTTGTTTATGCCGGATACAAAAACCATTTTAGATAAACCAATCTTATCAAATATTAATGATCTTTTGACCCATATTTAAGCGTGTTGTAAGATAGTTCTATAAATAAATCATATAAATAAATCATAAAAACGATATATAACCAACCTAGTGCACAACTAGGTTGACAACACAAGTGGAAAACATCTATAAAAATCATGTTGCCAACCTAGATGTACACCAGGTTTGATAATGTAACATTTCTCAATAGATAATTATATTTTTTTAATAAATATGTCTACTTTTAAACTAAAATGTCATATTATAAGAAAAAAAACATAAATAAAATGTATTTATAATATAAAATATATCATTTTATAATATAAGCCTACATTTTCATAAACGAAGTGCAATGGGTCAATCTGTCCAATGTTCATACAATAATTTGTTTTAAGACTCAACGAGTAGCTAATCATGAAATTACATTTAAAATACCAAGAAAAACAAATAAGAAAAATAGAAATATTTTTTTACTTAGTTTACTAGGCGTGCTTGTAAATAATATATTTTTTTTTTAATATATGGATAAAGCATGTTATTTTAGAAAAAAAAGTCGATTGAGTGCAGTATTGAGTGGTATTTTGAGTTTGTGTTTAAATAATACTAGTACAACAAGAGTATGTTATACATGTGCTTGTTAAAAGAATAATTCTTAAATCTTAACATCAATAAGAAAAAAATTTTAAAATTTAAATAGTTTTTATAAAAAATATATATTATTGTATATAATTTATCTACCTTATACCATAGAACTACTTTAAACATAAATATATTAATTAATAAATAATTTTATTTTTTAATTAATATTGGTAAATATCTTATAATTAAAAATAAAGACAAATATAAATTATTTATTTTATACATACAATATAGATATCAAAACAAACTCATAAAAAAATGATTAATTTGATATATTATATGTGTAAAATTGATAAAAATATAAAAGCTATTAATTTTTAAGATACATTTACAATTCAATGGTTATAAGATGAACTGTTTAAAAATTCAATTAATACATCTAAATTGATCATAAATAATCAACATATTTATCAATAATCTGAACCTAATTATTTTTGGATTAGAAGTAAATTAAAATCTATCAAAGCCAAATAATGAAAAATGAAATTTTGCCACATAGGATCCTGAAGCATGCAAATCTGCCACTTAAGCTCAGCACACTCGAGAATTATATTTAAGGGGGTTTAAAGTATAATGGTTAAAGTTGAAGTGAAGTAAAATAGGAAAAACTGTTGTTGAAAGTGATGATTGTATATAGTTAAAATTATATGAGTAAATGAATATTGAATTAAAGTTTATGTCATGTGTATGGATGATTGATTGTTTAAATAATGTACTAATATTCACCTCGGATCCCCTTTTTTCGAAACGGCAGATAACCTCATTAGCAATAAAATAAACGTTTTACAACTCGCAAGACTAACTAGTCTAATACAAATCAAGTCAGGAGGAGCCGCTTAACTAGTCAGGAGAGTTAGGGCGGATTAAGTTTGAGTTTGAATTTGAGTTAAAAGATAACCGCTTTTTTATCTATCCAGTTTCACCCTAAGAGTTTCAGTAGAATACATACGAAAGACGCTACAAGATAAAAAGATATTATTTGTATATATTGTTAAAACTGAAATTGTATCACAATATGAAACCGAGCCGAACTGAATAATCTTTAATAACCGAACTAAAATCGAACCGAAATTATCGGTTCGGTTTGGTTTTAAAATCGAAAACCAAAATTATAAATAAGTTCACAACACATGTTCCAAAACATAATAATTTTTTTTCACAAATCACATCAACCATAAAAATGCAACCAAATTACCAAAGTCTCACAACTCACAAGTCACACCAAAAATTACAAAAAAAAAAAACAATACTGAAAGTTTGAAAGACTGAAACTAAGTATTAATTCTGAAACAACACCCAACTAAGTCCTAATTAGTAACATAAATTTGGTTCGGTTCGGTTAAACCAAATTTATCTTTTTTTTTTTCTTTCAAAATCCGAACCGAACCGAATAAACAAATTTTTTAAGAAAAAAATAAACCAAACCGAATTAGGAAATAAAAAAACAAACCGAACAACACTAATCGATGCGGTTCGGTGGGTTTTATCCGGAATAAAGCTCGCCCCTAGTCTAGTCGCCTATGCCTATATAAGTGCGTTGTTTCTTCTTCATTATCAGCGCAGCGCAAAGAGGTATAACTCAAACCATGTCTCTCAATCTTGTGGCACACGCCAAATCAAAACTCAATTCCTTGCGAAATTTGGGCACAAATTTCAATTGCTTCCGAAATTT